AACTCTTGAGACTGAACTTTGTCCTTCAATGGAAAATGAGAAAGCATTCTCAAAAGTAGTCTGAGGTGGCAATTAGCAGTAAGCACAAACATTGAAGATATTCTAAACTCAACACAAAATACGCTCATTTACAAAAGCAATCATCCCATACTCAGCAACAATATGAAGGAAAATTAAATAGTCGAATTTATTACTTCTCTGAATCTCTCCTTGATTATCGTAAGTAAAATCGCTGAAACTACATTTATATAGGGCAAGAATTTCAACATGGGTTTGCTGATATGGAAATTGTAAAGAAATCTCAACACTGTCTTAACTAACATTGGATGGGCAATGTGCATCTAGCATTAAAACCAGTTATTTTTCCTTTCAGAGAGATTTTAATAAAATTAAAATAAATTATTTCTTTAATGGGAAAAAAGAGGAAAAATTAGGTGTCAGACTTAAAATAATTTATTATGCACAATTTGCTGATTTGACCAACAATTGCTGCTTAAAACCCATCTCACTCTTCAGGCTGTGTAGGTGTACTCAAACCACTTGATATTATACATATAAAAGTAGTGCTGGAACTTCTCCCAGTCACATGCAGGTCTTATGGAAAATTAATATAGAGTTTTTTTCTAAGAAAAATTTTGACATTAGTTAACAACATGTTGGGAACATGGTCACAATATTAAAAATTTATTTCTTAAAAAAAGTAGAATTTTTATTAATTTTACATATTTTCCATTCAAGACAATGAGGAATTCAGTGTCTGTGAGATTATTTCTTCTTGGCACCTCAACTGCATTTTCTTTCTAGATAAGAAGTGAAGAATTCAGAGAAACACATACGAACAAGTGACATCCATTGTACCCAAAGCGTAAAGCATATGAAGTGTTTCTCAGAAACGTTTTATTTTTTTAAAAAATCAGCATATTTTAGAGTGAGGTTTGCTTCCATACCTTTTATCTTTCATCCACTGGAGGACCATGTTTGCACTGTCTGTCAATGTTGTTGTTTCCACAAGCCCACTGATGCTTATTGACCACAAAATGAACAAAGCCGCACAACACTCCCTACACCAGTAACCAACCTTTATCCTAAAATATAATTTATTGCAGTAAAACAATTACATTACGATAATAAATTTTGATGCAATAACAATATACAATGAATTTTTCACATGAACCTTGGAGCTTCCTTGAAGCAAAGCCAGAAGTACCTGACCATGTTAGAACACTGCTGCAACAGAGCTGCAGGACAAGTGCCCAGAGGAGCCAGCTCTCCCTACCCTGGTGAGGCCACACCTCAGGTCCTGGGCCCCTCAGTTCAGGAAGGACATTGAGGGACTGGAGTGTGTCCAGAGAAGGGCAGTGGAGCTGGGAAAGGGTGTGGAACATGATTTCTATGAGGAGCAGCTGAGGGAGCTGGGGGTGTTTAGGCTGGAGAAAAGGAGGCTGAAGGGGACACCTAATTGCTCTCCACAACTGCCTGAAAGCAGAGTGTAGCCAGGCAGGGGGTTGGTCTCTTCTCCCAGGCAGCAGGATGAGAAGAAATGGCCTTAAAGCTGCACCCCAGGGAAGGTCAGGCTGGATACCAGGAAGAATTTCTTCACTGGAGTAATGCTGAAACGTTGGAATGGGCTTCCCAGGAAGGTGACGGAGTCATCATTCCTGGAGGAATTCAAGAAATTACTCCTCCAGGAGATTGCACTTAGTGCTATGGTTTATTTGACGTGGTGGTGTTTGGTCAGAGGCTGGACTCAGTGACTTTGAACATCTTTTCTAACCACAAAGATTCCATATCTCTGAGTCAATGTTGTGCATTTAACCAAATATCGCATTAAACAATGACTGAACAGCAGTCACACTACCTACTACTTACTGCATGACAAATAATTGGTTTGTCTACACAGTTTCAGACCTTTCTAGATCATCCCTCATTGTAGACATCAAATGCTGGGCAAGGCAATCTGTCACTCTTGAGAGGTAACCCTGAGAAGCATCCCAGCCCGAGAGACCTCAGTGGGTTCTGGTGAGTGCAGACCCTTGTGGTGAGAGGCGACAGCCTTGCAGTCAAACACCCCTTCGGTGTGCATGCAGGTGTCGAAGTGTAGCAATGCTTCATTCCACACACTTCCAGACCACACAAGGTACTGTGCTTATGGCTCAGGGCATTAATCCCCAAAAAGATGTGACTTCCCACAAGCTGGCAGGGTTTGCGCCTTGGGGCTGATTTCAGCCAGGCCTGTTTGTCAGCGCGGCCTGAATCAAAGTACAGCTAGCTCAGTCACCATGGGTGCACCTGTCTCAAACAGCAACACCTTTCTGCTCGCTAACCCGAGAAGCAAACAGGTGCACAACTAAGTATAAAACTATACACACCCACCACGTCCTCTGATGTGAAAGAGCTATCACTGAAAAATCTGAAGACTCATGCTTTTCATTATATGAAAAAATGCGCTGCAGCCTCCTGCATTTGTACCACGGCTGTCAAAATTTCAAACAAGCTTTGTAATAAATAGAAAAGCAAGGATAGTGACGATGCACTTTCACTCGTGTTGACATGCAATGTGATATTAGGCCATGGGAAACCACTAAGACTGATGTGGCCCATTTCCCCATGCACTTGTTTCCACTCCCATAAAGGAGAGACAACCAGTACCAGCTAGTACTAAAAAATACTGAAATCACCAAAAACAAAACAAAACAAAACAAAACAAAACAAACAAAAAAAAACCCCCCAAAAAACCAAAAAAACCCCTGAAATCAATCACGTTGAACTCAGCTGGACTTGTCCAAAAAGCTCTAACAAATTAGCATGGTTGGGGGGCACAGAAACAAGCCAAGATTATTACATGTTTTGAGAAGGTGGCCATGAACAAATTAACAATTAAATTTCTGACCTGGTGAATTGGATCTAAATTGCAATATTCTAACCTTTTAGGCTTTTATTAAGGCAATTTTAATGCACTAGGAGTTTGTTATGTCACTTTAGATCGTTAAAAGGATATATTATTCTGTGCCCCTGAGAGAAGTCCTCAAGCAAATAGTTTCCAATACTTTTGAGACTACCCTAGATGACATAGGAATGGATTACTCAGGGAAATTTATTTTCTGTGTGCAACAGAGAGATAGTTCCTGACTATTTAACTACAGTGTATTTTTTACAGTTTATGCCCTATGTGAAATGTAATGAAAGAGTATTTTCTGAAATAAATTATTATCATTTCCCCAAAATTACAGCAAGTCAGCATTCTTGGCTTCCAATTCAATAATCACTCCCAAAAGCTGCTATAAAGTATCATGTGCAATATTAACACCAATGCCCGCATTACAAGCTTTGACAATGTATATAATTGCTAAGATGTACAATTTAAATAAATTTTATTATGACATTTAAATAAAAATACCAATTTAATATTCAGTTCTCTTCAAAAGGCATGCATGAAGTCATAGACAGTATATTGTCAGTTGATTACACAGCCCTAAATAACTACTTTTGCAACTTTTAAGTACATTAGTAGTTTTGTATCAATTTTCAGTACTTTAAGACTTTACTTACTTCAAGACTTTACTTTACTTTTTATTTTAACTTTGCATTGTTATAGTTGATTTTCACCTGTACCCAATACTAAAACCAAAAAACACCAAAAGCCCAACTCATCACAAGCACAAAAATTAGACTTTTAATCCGCAGAGTATTTTTATCATGATTTGATGAAATGAAGCAACATTAGAAACAATGAAACATTAAATAAAACAACATTTGAAAGTTGTTTCATTCAGGTCTAATTCACCAAAACCTCTTAATAGAATTACAGCAACAAAAAACCCAACCCAAACAAACTTCATAGCTAGAACTATTTCAGTCACTGTATTCCCAGACTGAACTTCAATTTGCTGCTTTTCACAAATGTGATTCAAACCCGTACATAAACAAATTGCACAGGACCAAGTGAGAAAGCAGTTAGTCAGAAAAGATATACTGTCCATTACATAACATTAACTTAGTCCTGTCCAGTAAGGCAAATAGGCATAAATTAAAAATTCAGGGTTATGCTGAACTCAGAAACCTAAGCTATTTTTTAAAAAAAAACAGCTTGTATTTTTCAGCTAAAAATATCTCCCAATATTTGCCAAGTGTTTCAACACCTTTCCTCATATTTGTATTTTTGCTTATTTCATATCCAGAATGTATCAGCTTGCTTCAACAATTTTGACACCACACATCATAAAAACAGTGTCTATACATTCTATGAAGTGAACGAAACCCTGAACAGCACAGACATGTAACACATTCCCTGAAGCCAGCATTATTTAGTCTAAATTCTTCCACTTAATATATGGGCTATTAAGAAGGCCCCATAAAATGTCCCACAGGTCATTTTATTATTTTTATTATTATTATTATTTTTAAGAAGAATCTACGAAAGGGTATACTAGGCCTCTTGTGGGAGGGGGAAAGGCAATGATGAAGCAGATGATGATGACATTGCAAGCTTTCAAACTGGAGACAAATCAACTACGCACGGTTAATGCTTTGTAAAAACATCAATTTCTAGTGACAAGCAAATACATAAGTTACAGTCAGTAATTATAATCGCCTTTTCCCATTCCGCCTTGAAGACAAGCGCTCCCATGTCTTCTGGCAGTCAAGAGAAGCTACACACGCAATGCTTATCTTTTAAAGCTACGCGGCCTAGCGCGACTCCTGACATAACAAGCGCACGGAGCGATAAATCCGCCTCTGAAGGACCGGGCGCCGCTCCCGCCCGTCCCCGCCGGCCGCGCCCCGGCACCGCCCC